GTCATTGTAATGCGCAATACATCAATACTGTCGACCTAATTTAGGTTTACTTCTTCTACCTAAACCACTTCTTAGTCTACTTTAGATAAATATGGCTACTGTAAACCGGTTTTGTACCGAGTGTGTGTGGGGGCGCGCTGGCCGATACTACATCTTCTCACAACACTTCTTCGCGAAAGCGCAGGTCTACTTCCACTGGTGCAACATCGTCATGGGATTCAGCACCCCCTCACTTCTTTCTCGCACTGCAACTCCTTCGGATGCGCGTGAAATTTGCCATATTGCGCATTCATGGCGTTCTTGCAAAAACTCGCTCATCACAAGCGCATGAGTACGCGGTGCCATGTAACATCTTGGATTCCAGATCGAATAGTTTCTTGTTGAGGGGCCGCTTTGTGGAAGATCAAGAGGAGGGAGAAGCTAGGGGGGATTGTGCTGTCAATTGCTCTTGGTGATATGTGAGCAGCGAGGTAGACGCTTTCAAAACATGCCATAGCTCTGTGTTTTGCGGCTGTCCTGCACACAAAGACTCAAGTTATGCGCCCGGGTGTGTTTTCGAACGAGGTTGGGGCTACGTTCATGTGGCGGTGAGTAGTTAAGGTATGACACTTGGAAATCAAAAAAAGAATTCTACGCTGCTATGTGGCTCCCAAGATGGACTTTGCTCCGTATAAATCATAGCCTTGATACTATTATCTCTTGACGCTCTGTCCACAGGAAAGTTACGGTGTGCTGAAATCGAAAACAGAGTAAGACTGGGACATGAGTTTGAGTTTAGCCCTTTTTGTAAAGTTGAGGACAATTCGATTTGGAATGCACAGAGACAATGGAAATAGGTTGCAATATATGTAAGCATATTGGACGTTTCAGCAGACGACACTAATCTAAAAGCCCTTGAAATCGATATCGTTGGAATTAAAGATGGCGAAGGATTGTACGCGATACAATAAAAACAATTCGAAATCCACCCTGCAGAATAAATCGGGAAGGCACTAGGTGCGCCGAGCTGCTGTTGAAAGGGACAACTGGTAGGAAAGAGTTTGTGATTAAAGATAAGTAGATCAAGTAGCCTAAGCATATCCAACCAGCATTTATGAAGCTCACTGAGCTTTTTCAAAATGAATAAAAACCCACTGTATGTCTCTTGGATCGGAGTAGCGTCTGTAGTGCATAGATCCAAGCAGTCGCTCTTGAGGAACTCCTGCTCAAGGATCTTGAACCCATCTCCTCAATCATCGAGAACAAGAGAATTACTGTAATCTAGATGTTCACCTTGCGTCGAAAGAATGGAATAATGAAGACCATTTCCCTGAATAATTTTCTATTGCCTCACTTATGATTCTTGGCTCTTGCCAGCTTATTCAACAAGGGGCTCGCAATGAAGTCCACACATTCCCATGACCACGATCCGTCGCGGATAAAAATCCTCTTGTGGATCCTCAGTCAAAAGGGGCGAGGCTCAATCTTCTACGACTTCCTATCAGCACATCGATCGCATGCCCCACTATACTCATTTTCAAAAGAGCACTCCATCATGGTTATGTGTCTGGCTGCACAATCTCATGGTTTTTTTCAAAGCCGCCTGAATCCCGGTTATGCTATTGTCTGTAGATGCAATATTCATCAATATACATGTATATTGCCCTTACCTGACAGGCAGGAACACAATTAAGGCTAACTTTGCTCATATTATTCTCAAAAATCAGATGACGCATCAGGCGATGATATTATCTTGCGCTGTCTCACATGGCCAGCTGGGAGATGTTTGAGAACGCGCGTGGGATAGCGGGGTGAATAACTGAAAACTACTTGCTGATTCTGCCCCATCCCTCAAACCTCGTTATGAGGATGGATATGATCCTGTGTAAATGTGTCAACTCCACAGCTGCTGGATGTGCATCTCGAAAACTTCAAACTCGTTGCTTTTGACCCATGTGCACTTGCCGCAACGCCGCTGTTTACTAGGAATTCAGGATCACGTGGAGATGAAAATTTTGATCATCAGATCACAAAAGCCAGTTCGATAATCAGTCGTCGATTTACCGGTCAAGTAAAACGCAGAGATGAAGATGCATAATCGACTTCCAAAACACTCACTATGAACAACATGTTATGCGTGCGCTCTCCCAACACGCTGTTAGAAACCATCGTGTATTCTCCACCTTCACACTATGTAAATCCTCACACTCAATCTGCCATTTATTTCCTTCAACCCAGGGCAGTTTCATGCTTTGAATAGAATTAGAGATACACAAATAAGATGTGTTGCGTCTGTGTGTGCTCGAGAACCAGCGGTTACGTTACTACGAGACATTGCATAGAACGTTGCGCAAAAAAGGCAAGAGAAAACTATCCCATGGGTTTCATGTCATCATGATTCCTATGAAATGATCTCAATGAGTTCCCATGAGCTTTTTGCGTAAACGTGATCAATACCATCTCATGTCGCTTGGAACATAGTTGTGGCCCATCCCTCTATAAAATGCCTGAGAATAATCATTGGATATCCTTTGTCTGTACAACCATTCATACAACGGATCGAAATTATTCAGTTCTCCAGCCTATGTTGTGTGGGACCTGGAACGCATTTTTAACAATGACCAGACATCGAAAGCACATTCTTGCAACTGGATATCAATATTCCAAGCATAATGTCTGACCACGAGGAAGAAGAGCATGGAGCTTTCAATCATGTCCTTGAAGTCTTTCGCTTCCCCAGTCTAAAAGACAGCAATAGTCCGCAAATGAGTCGTGCACGTCGGCTACCACGCTCCTAAAAACACATGTCTTGATGTAGTTTGCCGTGCTACAACGCCGCGTCACGAAATCCTATATCGTTCAGAGCCATGATCGATTTGGCATCAAAGCACTACAGAAATCCTCTTCATACAGCTTGTTCTTCCTACCTACGCTCGCAGCGCTAAAAGTGGAATACGGCTCAAAGAAAACTCATATGGCTTTTGCGCCCCTGCAGCGACAGAGTGAAAAAAGAGACTTCAATGTTTCGAATGTTTGGCTGCCGTGTTCGTTCCTTAGCCTATTTGAGGTATGGGCAATGCTGTATCTTGGTGTCCTCAAAATCTTGCTAGACAATCAGCATGTCTTTCCCCGTGGTTGCCTCAGTACTACAACTACAAAAGATTAGCTGTCAGAGTTGGTAATTACTACTCCACCTATCCTAGTCTTACCCTCGAATAGACCTACCCGTCCTAGCCTCCACAGCTATAAAACCCCTACTCTCCATCGCAACTCCTTATCCCCTCTTTCCCAAGGCCCTCTTCACTGTTCCAAAAAATGCCGGGAAAAGAAGACATGATTGAAAGTTGCAAATTCAAATATAGAGCTCAAGAAAACAATGTCTGAAGAGTGGTTTCAGCATATGCATGGTCTGAAGAATGGTTGCAACACCTACATGTCAAAGTAAAACACACGTCGACTGATTTCAAGGGTCCCCCGCTCGCTCTCTTCCTAGAAAAAGTCTAATGAGTCATGACTTCTGCTCAGGAGATATCTGGCGCAAGATGCCTCTTTCATAAAGCAGCTACTAGGAGTGCATGTAAACTGTTTGTTCTCGTTGGGGGTGTAAATGAGGAATTCGTTTTCAACTTTAAAAGCGTGAATGAAATGAAATCGCTAGTCTCTAACATCCGTTGAGAATAAGAAAAAAGTTTCCTTTGATGTCGTGATGTCTTTTGCTAGCCACAAACTTGAACACAACATCGATATGCATCTCGTCAAATGCCAGAACCCCCCCCCCCCCCCCCCCCCTCTCTCTTTCGTTCCAATTTCCCCTTTATAAAATATACCCTGGGCCCTACATTTATTACCAAAAAAACTCAAAAAAACAAGCATCCGCTCCGAAATTCCATATTTACCGGGGGAATGGAATGGTGTGTACCGGTGGACTAAAATGGTATTTATAGTTGGATTCCAATAAGGGTTGAAAAACCAAGTTTCCCTATTCAATGGAAGGTGTGGTGGGTGGAAGGGTGTGTGTGTCCCCAACGAAATATGAAAAAAAGCACACTCTCTTCCAAAAACCCGTTACGCCCTATTTAGCCCAGTACCCTGAAAAAAATTCC